GACGACTGACGATACGGGCCTTAAAAACAGAAAATTTTAAGGAATCTCCTCTAAACGCCAAAAAACAAAGTTTAACCGATTCTGATGTTTTTCGTTTTTTGCCTTCCTTCTGCTGCCACTGGACCGATTTTCTACATGCTACTACTTACTACAAAGCTTTTTCAGCATAATAGTATCCTCGTGTGAAATTTTGATTCAAATTCAAACAGTACTTTCCAAGTTATAGATATGTCAATAATTACCGGACAGACTGGCAAACAGACCGACGGAAATGAGTGACATGGTCTTTGGTAATATACATGTCATCTAAGATCCAAAAAACATAATATCTCATTTTCGAGATTACAATACTTCCCCGATAGTGGGCGCGGGAAGTGAAAGGCTGTGCAAAACAAAAATGCATCTCACTTTGACTTCGTATAATACTGTAAAAGTCTCGTCGTGATCCCGTGGTCAAAGACGTTATCCCCTAGAGATCAATGTTGCAAGCTGAAAATATCATCAATCAGGGGGCTGATTCGAACTGAATTTGCACTCTTAAAACTATTCCCGATATAGCCCTTCTGTCGTACACATGATCCGCCGTATCTTCTTTTCGGGCAATTGCCGTTAGAGTGCAAAGAAGTGTAGACACTGTGGTTAGGTGTTGTCAGGCATGGCTTCGAGAAGGCCGTACGCAAAGAGCAAGGGACACTAGACGCCGCCGTAGAACCGCAGACCGTGAAGATCGCCGCCTAAGATTATTGGCCTTAAGGGACCGTTTCTCCACTACCAGGTCCATTGCAAATGAATGGTTTGCAGAACACGGAAGATCTATTGGCATGCGAAGTGTTTACCGACGAATGACAAGTTTTGACTTGTTTTCATACCGGCCACACTGGGTCCTCCCTTTAACTCGAGAACACCGACGTAATCGCCTTGAGTGGTGCAGACAACGGTCACTCTGGGATCAGGAATGGAACAGTATTGTCTTTAGTGACGAGTCTCGATTTTGTTTAGGCATGCACGATGGTCGTGCCAGGGTTAGAAGGCGACGTGGTGAAAGGAGGGATCCACAGTTTTTTGTTGAAAGACATGTTCATCACACTGTTGGAGTTATGGTTTGGAGTGCTATAGCTTATGGTTCCTGGTCACCTTTAATCTTCATCAGAGGTAACATGAACGCGCAGCGTTATATCCACGAAGTTCTAGAACCCCATCTTTTACCCTATCTTGACACCCTGGCAGATCCAACTTTCCAACAAGATAATGCCCGCCACATGTTGCAAGAGTCACAATAGACTTCTTTCAACATAATGATGTCACATTGTTACCATGGCCGCCAAGATCTCCCGACTTATCCCCAATTGAGCTCGTGTGGGATATGATGGGTAGGAGATTGCTCAATTTGCAACGTCCTCCTCAGACTCTAGAAGCTCTTCGAGAGGAGCTGGTGGTTGCCTGGAATGAGATACCACAGGAGGACATTGACCACCTGATCAGAAGCATGCCTAGGCGCGTTGGAGAATGCGTAGCACATCAGGGTGCATCCACACATTATTAAAGGTCAAAGGGCTTTAAAGCAGTGCAATCATTTTGAAATTTTTATCATTTACTTATCATGCTTCGTTAAGTACTTATACAAAATTTTATTAAAATAAAACCATTTAAACTGGGTGTTCGGATTTATATGTCACTTAGTATATCTATGCTCGCACAGCTACGTTCAAAACATAACGACGACAGTTGTTTGACAATGTCTCACGACAGACGAATCGATAAAACGCATAACAACAAACATTCAGACTGGACGGAAAATAAGAGACATGCATTTCCATGACGCAAAAGTAAAAAAATGTATCACACTTCCTTACATGTCTTGATTGAAGTAATAGGAACATAGAAATCCTCATTCAAAATACATAATTATCCTTCCGTCCATTCCTTATGTCAAGTTAGTATGCTAATAAGCGTCAATAACTTGCCTCGTAATTGGCAAACTCATCAATCAATTCCATGCTTCGTAAAAAATGTTTTATTCTTTTGCGTTTTAATTCATGCAAATCGCCATAATCATGTATCGGGCTCTGTCAATGCTTCACGGATACCCGTTCAGCAGCATTGTAAAACAAAATAAAATAAGGTCTAATTAAGAAATTCTATACATTCCTCATGTAAATTGGGTTAAAAGTATTAGAAACTAGGTGTTCACACATGGAAGAAAACACGCGTATCAAAAAAAGCAGACGCCTATGCCCTAATCAAGGTAGCACAGAAAATTCGCAAGGTTCAGAGCTCCCTGTAGAAGACAGAAAAGAGACGGTAGCTAAAGGAGAAGTTTGGGTATGTCAACTGTAATAAATTGTGGTCAAGTGACGTAACCTTTTTTAGAGTTAACTTTTAAAGCCCCTCCTTGAGGTTGTTCAAAGTACGTAACGTAAAAAAAGCCTATAAAATGTCATCTTGCAGACTAGGTAGTTTTTAGGGTGCAAACAGTCATTTCACGTTTGCTCACTAGGATCATTGTACGCATCCCTCTATGGGGGAATGGTTCAACTAGACGCATTGTTGGTTGCATAAGCTTTGGGAAGCCGAGCAGTCTGTAGTTATCACTTCGGAGAAGAAAGTATGCTGAATAGCAATATCGCATCCCGATGATTATGTATCCTAGATTTTACGGCATTTCCAGAAGGTGGATAGTGTAACGAAAATGAACCACGAAGCGGAAGGACTTCATATTCAAGACACGATGAAAATATCGGCAGAATACGAGTTCTTATGCATTCAGATCGTCGGTTGTCAGAATGATCGGGGAAGAGTCAAATTTGATTCACACTACCATTCGTCAGATCCAGAACATCAACTTTAGTCCTTGTGATTGTCTTCTCACCCCGAAATTGGAGAATCGCCGCGAGAGAACGCATTTTGGAACAGTCGAAAACATTCAAACTAGTAAATTCAAGCCATACGGTGTATGATGTAAATGCTGGGCAACCTATAATTGTAGATTTAACAAGTGATTTCTCAATTTTACTTTAAATTTTGTCAAAGGTTTCTGGTCTTTTATCTCCGAGTATAATTTATTATATTCAATCAACCCTTGATGGAATACAGGTTTGTAGCATATGTTATACTTTTTGGTCATTAAATGGACTGGTGTGAAATTGCGATCAAATTTTTAACATCGTTCTCCTTCTCGTACCTATTAGGAAAAGGTTTTAGCGTTGCTACGAGACTATGAACAGAAATGGAAGCAGATTGAATATTGCAAACCGGGGAGATTTGCGCTTCTTCCTTAAGCCAAATATTTATAATTTGCTGTCATTCCATCAAGTGCATTCCTCTTATTTTGTACTCTTGATTTGTTTTGCGGAGGGAGTTACGTTTTAGGTTAATAAATAATTAACATCATCTCTGTTAAATTTATATAAGAAAATAGGTTTCTATTCACTTTTCCCACTGTGAAAATTTGCACGTTAAATCTAACCTTTATACTTCTTGACGCGGTTATGGAATATGCTATGTTTCGGAACCACTGCTTTAAACAATAGTTTGACAATTTTGGACAATTTTAAAAGAAACATCGACGAGACAATTAGAAGTAGAATGCGAATGGACATGTGGTTGTGATTACAAGGCTATGGACATGATGTCCTTTGAGAAATGTATTTACGAAAGGCAACGTCATTTAACTAGCGTCGATTCTAAAAATTCCAGTGGTCGTGGATATGTGGAGCATGCTGGACGAGAAAAGGAAGGAGTTAAATAGGAAATCTGAAACGAATAAAAAACAGCATGCCTGAATAATGAATCAGATGTCTTGGAAACTGGAGATATTAATCAATGAATAATGAAGGTTACTTGATTTTGTTAGAAGCTAAAGGACCAAATGTTTGGAAAGGGTGATTTTACGATGTGGGAAGACAAAATAAACAAGGAGCTTCTGACGAAGTCAAGAAAGCAGTACTGGCACCCAGGGCTGATGAACTAACCGTTTTTATCAAGCTGCTTGTTAGTAATGCCAGTGAGCATATGGAAAATTTATAAAATCCTAAGCGTCCGATAGAACAAGAAGAAAGAGAGGGTTGTTAAGGAAAAAATTGAGTCTTTTGAGTGACATAAGTTTTATTTTAGGTACTTTGTTTACAAAAAGCATTGTACCTTCGGAATTGGTTCTCTATATGTACCACTATTGAAATACATACGTTAAGAGCCAAATTCGTCGACGGCTTGAGTTCAATGTGTACGAGAGAGAAGTGTGTATAGACGCATATGTACAGCTCCTTGAATGAAAATGCGTTATGACGATATGCGTTAGTTTATTCTGCACGGCCAAATAATGGCTTAATTTTAAGCGTACTCATCTTTGAATTGTGAATTGTATCGAATCTGTTTAGGATCGATCCCGGATCGGTCATAAAGGCGATGCATTTTAAGTCGAAATGAAAGGTGAGGATTGCCACAAATTCTGCAACATTGCATCATTGGTTCGCTTGGCAGCCATTCTAATTAAAGGTTTCAACCTACATGATCGTAGCGCTCAGTGGGGAGTGTCGTCCTGCTTTGAAATAGTATTTGTTAAATTTTCAGACTACTCGCTGCCGCAAAATGTAACAGGATCGGTGAGATAATTCTAAAATAAATAATTAAAAGCACCTTTCGCATCAAAATGAAAACAAAGTATTAAAGTTGACGTTCGAACAGACCTCCTTCTTGGGTGTGGCAGTAACCTAAACTATTGCAGAAGCCTCTCTGAACATTTTCTCGTGGAACATATTGGCAGCGCTGCAGATTGCATGATCTTCTGCCTCACCATTGTTAGCCAATGTGGTACACACTTCTCAGGCTTCTCAGAACACATGGAACTCCAGCCTTCAGACACATTTGGTTTTCACTGTATGTGCGCTCAATTATTTGTCGATAGCGGGTAAGAAATATATGAGTCTGCTACTTCTTGTCAATATCACGCGCATAAGTGAGAAAAGTGCCTCATTTACTATTGGGGTTCTAAGGAAGCTTACCTTTATATGGTCTCCTTCAGGATGAAATCCCTGATCATCTGCAGTATACCTCACGGTGTACACTACACCATCAGGTCCAGTGTACGAGTATGACCCAGTAACTTTTAAGAACTGATCTTCTGTCCCTTCGTAATGAGTCTCAGCAGTTTCTTCTTGTGATATGCCATTGCTAGTTTCAAAGCTAGAAAGACAAGAATCTAAGTCATTGCAGTACGCTTGGGTGTCAGTGTAATAATGCACATAGATAAATACATCACAACAGTGGGTAGCAAAGAGATGTTGCTGATAAATGTAGGACACTAGGAATTCTTCAGGCAAGGATGTCCACTTCTACCAGCTTATTGGGAGAAATAGTATTTATCAGCAGGAAGACTCAATGTTAGTTTTATGAAAGTTTGCTGTAATTATTGGTTGCCCAACTGTATTCTGTATTTGGATATTCAGTTATATAGTTTCCATCGTCACAGCCATGTTGTCCCGTTTTTTACATCCATATTCTGTACTTCGTCCGGACTACTAGATTCTCAGGATAGTAGAAATGTAGAAATTAATAGTAATAGCTCTTAAATTGACGTTAACGACAAATATAATGAATTCTTTCTACCTAAGGCAACAAGTAATGCTTAAAACGTGACCGATGTAGTAACTAATGAGGGCCTCAGCTCATAGAAATTATGACGTATACCACTTGCATATCCTAATTTGCATAATGCATGTAAGGATCCTAATGATTCTCAAAACCAGTTATTTGTGAACTAATTTGCTTGAAATCTGTTTTTGCGCCATGTCTTCCGCATCCCTTCCTTCATCATTTTATATTGCATATCCACATTTAAGAAAAGTTGCTCATTCATTAAAAGCGTTAGTGTTGATTTGATTTTTAATAATCTGCTCTATCTCACCTGAATTTATAGTCTCCGTTTTCAGCTCGCTCAAAGTCTTGATTCAGAATCTGTGCACCACTATCTGAGCTATCATATGCGAAGCAGAAACTGATGATACTCAAGCTGACAAATATCTGCAATGAACACAATGAAGTCAATGGAATGTATTGATAAAAAACATATGCCCAGCCAACTCTGAACAGCCACGTTTCGTAATTTTTTTTTTTTAGGAAAGTGCACCGTACCCTATAGGCTTAAATTGCATCAAATAAGCTGCACTTAATTACAGTGCGACAAAGTTGACATTTTAAAAAGTATTTTTATATCAATTTACATTGAACTTGAGAAGTCTGTTATCCAAAATAAAATATCTAAGTAATTATCTGGATCAAAAGGCCATGAATATTATTCACCAAACTCTGGTGGAGTCTTGATTGTGATATACGAGCTACTTCCCATTTCAGTGGGCTCACTTCAAGATTTGTACCAAAATATGCCTTTATAAACTAAACATGACGAAACTATTTACTTCTAAAACAATTTGTTTTCTCAAAAACATTTTAGGTACACTCTAGTCATAAAAAATACATATCTGAAATCACTTAGACCTTTAACTAATAATAAAACATCTGAACATATAAACAATGTGCGAAGTTAACAAAGCAACAATTGAAAGACTACGATTGGGTAACATCATCCTTATTTTTTATTACGGCTGAAATTCTTTGGGGCATAGTGTTAACCAAGTTTTGGCAAAAATTTGGTATAAAACAATCCTATATTTCTTGAAGCTTTTGTCTCAGTTCGGTGATTGTACGAGCAGAATGTTGTAGTAGAACCTTTTTCATCTCGTGCCACTAAGTTTCAATAGGTGACAGATCTGGACTGCAAGAAACCCATTTCAAAAGTGGTACATTATTTTCTTATATTTTATTTTATAGCCTTTTTTGAGGTATGACACGCTGCACCGTCTTGTTGAAACACAAAATCCTGGCCGGATGTCAAACATTCTTCCATCACTGGTAAAAGCGATTCTTCTAAAATTGCCAAATATTTGTTTGTATCCAAATTTCCATCAATAAAATGAAGTTTTCCTACTCCTTTAGATGACATACTGCCCCAGACCATAATGGATGCTGGAAATTTCACTTTTCTCTTCAGACAGTCAACATGGACTGCATCATTTTTTTGCGAATAGCTCTACTGCGACTGTCACCAACACAAACTTCGAATCAGGCCTCATCGCTCCATTGTATTGCACACCATTGTTGAGATGTCCATTGTCTATGTTCTTCAGCCCATCTAAGCCGATTTTTCTTTTGCAGTGGAGTTAATAGTGGCTTTTCTTTGGCCTATAAACAAGTTGTGCAACTTTAGGCTTTTTACTTCACTTTTTTTTTATAAGAAAACTTACCTTGCAAGTGCTAAATCCCAGTTTGTGGGCCCCTCTATGAGTTGTGGACCTGGAAATTCTCCTTCCAACAGCCTCACTCCACAGAGCACTTAATTGTAAATAATTGGCACGCCTGTTTTTCACGATTATTCTTCTTAATGCTCTTCGGTCGGCATTTGTCATATTACTTTTTTTCACATATCGTGGCTTAATATTAACTGAACCAGTTACGTTATATCTTCTAACAATATTTCTTACACTGTACCGCGATAAGTCTAACAAAGTTGCAATTTCTGAGTTTGATTACCCAGAATTAAAAAATTTAATTATAGGTAACCGAATTTGCTCACTGATAGCCTTTCCTCTACCCATTTTGAAAACCTTAACTACCCTTCTGACAGCTGTGATTAATAAAAACAATCGTCATGGCATTTATTTTTCACAGCCACCTATGCGTCGTTGTAGACTTATTTTGCATTGAAATGAAAATAGGTTGATATGCTGTAATTGCAACATGTGTTATTTTTATGCTGCAAATTTGATTAGGGAGTGACAAAGTTGGTGTTTTCTACTATATATTATCAAAATACCCATTGTTAATGTTTTAAACCTATAACACCTTGCTACATTAGTCCCCAATAGTTGGGCCAACTGAAGTGGGAAGGGGCTCGTAATATATTAGCTTGGAGTTGAGCTGTAACAGTTCACTTAGCAAAACTTGAGGTACTAGAAAAACAATTTTTAAAGATAATTCATAATAAAAACAGACTTCATCCATCAGAACAGCTGTATAGAGATGCAGAAACTCTAGATCTTCGGCAATTGTTTTCGTCCAGTATATTAGTATATCAATTTAAAAACAAACATACGTTAGTACCGATACAATATACTCGTACTTATTCGACTAGGAATAAAGTTAATAAAATAAGCAGGACTCCTTTGTCTACTAAAAAATAGGACAAAAATGCTGTACGTATCTCGCCAGTCGGGTATATAACTTGCTGCCTGAATAAATAGGAAAAGTATCATCGTTACCAAAATTTAAAAAAGAAATAAAACAATTCTTATTTGAAAAGTGACAAAAGAAGTTCACAGAATTATAGAAAATAGGTAAAATATTACACTTACATTTAGTGTGTCATGTTGATATTTAAAACAAATCGGTTTCTAATTTTGCTATACATAATATAAATGTTTGATTTATGTAATATGTTTTTTTTATTGATAAAGTTCATTACTGTTTGTTTGTCTTTTGTACCTTTTGAAAAAGGTATAGATGTTTCAACAAATTAGTAAACCGTTGGTTAGGCATTACTTTTATATTTCTGTTTTTTAGATGTATGTTTTTAAAATTAAAGAAAAAATGTTAATGCCTTGTATATTCTAATAGCTTTTATCATTATATTTTATAAGTATTCAACGTCATGCAGCTAAAAATGTGGTAGCAGGTAAATGATAAAGTTGAAGTGTACAACCTCAATGGGTATGTATCCCCAGGCACAAGCATCAATTTGCTTCTGGTGGGTTGTGTATGTTTATTGCGGTATACGCTTTTTTCCCTTTTGCTCCTAAATTGTATTTTTTCTTCAATAAACATTATTATTATTATTATTATTATTGCTATTATTATAATTACTATTATAATTATTATTACTATTATTATATTATTATCAAAGTGGGTTATGGCTGGTGCTAAGCTATTTGTTAATGCAAATTCTAGAGCACACTTTATTATTTTGAACTCAAAAGCCATACAAATTCAAACCGTTTGGCACATGCGCAAACAAATCAAACATGCGTACAAGAGGCAGAAGATTTCGTGAAGTCAATCTCGTAAAGATCGGAAAAGGCAACGGTCGTCTTCAAAACCTCGGCAAAAGAATCCTAGTTAAACCGGGTACAATATATTTGCTAGGCAAGTGTGGTGAACCTAAGAGGAAGCTGTGAAGAGAGAGGAGCTCCTCCTACATTGTCTTTGTATGGCTCGGGTGTCGATTACCTTATTGCCTTAATTATATCTGAACGCGCTTACAGTCCCGCGGCTCTGCACAACTTAGAATCATCTTTGCAATAACACTATTCGTTATTAAACGTCAAAGCCTACGTTCATTTCCCTTTTTTTCATCATAATATGTCCGTCTGTCGTCCTATCAGCTAGTTTATCAAAAATCAGACAAACGCAGATAAACAGGACGAAAATGAGGAGTATCAGGAAATAGTGCCCAATTATTAAATAGGCTTGCTCAGTATTACTGGATTTATTTTGACCCTTATAGTTAACAGTTATTTGAGTCAGGGGTGAAGTCCTTAAAAACAACGTAACTCTTATCTATTAAAAGGTCAAATTAAAAAAGGGCTGTTAGAAGTACGAAAATAACAAAGAAGTCGGTGAACTTACATGGTCAAGTAGGAATCTCATCTTGATTTGCCACATACTGGGAAGTAATCGTTTTTCGTAATGTCTTATACTAATCCAAATTATGCCCCACTAAATGCTGTTAGCAGGTGATAGGACCGGAGTTCCTCACGAAACAATTTCTCTGCCATAATACGCTTCCTATGGATATGGTTATCGCAAACAGAATTATTCGGGAAATATTCGTACATTAAAATCAGAATTTGAAATTCAATCGCTTCCTTGAATCCCTGTACCTGGCAGTAATATATCGACTTGATGTCCACCTGTAAAAATACTTCAGTAGTGTCTTGATAATTTTAAACTTGTTTCCTACTAAGCAGCTCTCTTTGAAAACTAGTTATAATATAGGAAGCAACACCCGTATGTGTAAAATAATCGTTATAACTATCTGATCGCCAATCTTGATAACCAGAGAGACCCTGCGCACAGCTCAAGTATCTTAACGTTTAGGCAACATACGCAGCTGCTACAAGTGAACATAGAGTGTATGACAGCTAATTGATCCCAATTGACAATTATAGCGATAATCGCTATCCATGTCATTTCGCAGTTACCTAATAAGGGTGTGGGGTCGTTAAGCTCCTTTATCAAAAGTCGTTCAGCATTTAATGCACACACCGTCAGCATGATCATCATCATTATCATCATCATCATCATCATCATCATCATCATCATCATCACCATCATCATCATCATCATCATCATCATCATCATCACCACCATCATAACTTAAAATACCTTGTCATAACAAAAGTGACGTCACTGATGGTAGTTCTTGGACTAAAGCACGTTTCGTTTCGACCAACAGTTGAATTTTATTTATTAATAAAAGTCATTGTTAGGCAAAGCAATAACACTACCTTTACCCTTCACGATTTATGATTAATTTATAAGCCTAACCTAAACGGAGCCCTGATTTCATTGTCCCTCCGTCTTTGAAATTCCATTGTTGCCAAGTGTAAATAGTAGCTTAGGTATCTGTTAGACCGTATTGGAGCGCACGCGCAGCTCGCATCATATATGGGTTGCTCGTCAACCATTATTTGATAATAGGAAAATGTTTTGGGCAATGCTGCTGTTTTCATTATTGTTCTCAAATATTTGCTAGTAAGCATTTTTAAATGGTAAGATCACAGGTTCATCTTTCTGATGGAAATGGTTCATTTAGTTGTTTGATTGAAATTTTATTCGCGGAACTAGATTTTATTTATACATTTATTAGGTCTGAACTGTGTTTGTGGTCATAGAATATCTTCTAGTCACTATGAATGAGAAAACACCTCTGTTTTATAGAACACCATTCATTTTCTATCGTCTATACTCAATCTGTAGCTGGAATTGTGCAATCGTAAGATGTTTCCGAAGTGATTGTAAAATTTACAAGAAAGGTGACCGCGTGCTGCCTTGTAGCAGGTTATAAGAATAATTAATCGTGGAAAGCGCCATATTGTTCGTAAAAATACGACCGTAATAAAAATGAAGGCACCGCTCTTTAGCCAATATTGTTCAGTTCTAATCGATGTTACGTAAGGTGCGACTGCTTTGATATATGTACATATGAAGAATCTGTGAGATCCCACTCGTCTTCATTTATAGCCAAGTATGGTAATGGAAAAATATACTATAAGCAGAAAGTCAGATTTTAAGTTCCAAACACATAATGTTGTCAGTCGGTACTCGCAATACCCTTTTGATAATGAATGAGATCAAATTGTGTGTTCAGGGTTTTCATTCTGAAAAAGACGTCGAGTACTTTCCACACAACGTTGTTATGGATTGGATTATATTCAGTTTATTTCCAGACCTAACACCATATGAACAAAGTCGAACACAGTAATTCCATATGACATATCGGGTGAATCTCAAGCTGCTGACAAATATTTTTATCAGACGTTTTTTATTTGTCTCTAAGTAGTAGTGACTGCTAGGGTGGGCCGTCCTTTGGTTTCTTTTTTAAATTGGTATTAAAACTACACTCTTCAATAACATGTAAGACTCGATACTTTATTCAAAAGAATACACCTTCTGATAATTTATAAAAAACAATTTCAGTTAAATGGCTGCCGCGGATGACCTGGTGTTAACCCATTTTGAAGCTCATTTTCGATAGTTTGTGGGTCTATTTCATCAATAGCTCGACGGATATCTCCCTTAAGAACATCAATTGTTTGAGGATCGTTAGTGTAACAGCGGTCCTTAACAGCATCCTATAGGAAGTAATCCATGGGCGTCAAATCATAGCCAATGAACGTCTCCAAAGCGGCGGTTAACGCGATGACCGAACTTGTGTAACTCTGTAAAAGATCAAAACAAAAAACTCCTCAACTTGTTTCTATAGCGCTCTACATTTACCGTCACGCCAAATAAAAAACAACTGATGACCCACCCTCTATAATAAAAGGGAACTACGCACATCAGCAACAAAAAAAGAGGGTAGGTCAAGTCTTCTAGAAGACCCGAATGGAATCGAAGCTTACCTCTTGGTTATCTCCACTTGGGTCCATTAAATCGTAAAACTCATTTCATAGGTCAAAAATAAATTTATTGTATTTCCATTTCAATGACATTGTCCTACTGATACTAATCGAAACAGATGGAAAATCCGGAGCCGCAAAAGGTGTAACATCCTATACAGATAAGCGGACCAACCGCATCGCCACGGAGGCTGTAGACCAATGAAAAATGTATTGTAATTGTATGTATATTTAAGCAACTACTACTCTGAGACACCTGCTGTTGTTGCAATTGATATTAGATGTGCAGATAATAAGTATCGATGTTATAACTAAAAGATGCGCGATTATACCGGAATCAGAAATTTAATAATAGACGTCTTTCGCTGACATTAAAAATGTAATATTCCCTTCTACCCCTAACCTTCAATTCCCCCAAAAAATGTCTGAAAATACGTAGAAAGTACGAACTGAATGTTTCACTGAATCGGCTAAAGGATAAAAATTGCATATATAAATGATGAAATTACATCCTTGCTGTTTTTTAAGAATATAAGATTTAATTGTCTTCTTAAATGGCAGTTCTCTCAGCCGCACAAACTTCTGAGGCATGTTGTTATATTCCTGAGCTACTTGGTAGCTGAAACTCCTTCATATATAGTGGTTTTATGGGTTGAAAGATTGATGAGGACTTTGGATCTTATAATGGGTGATTTTTTGCTAGTGTCTTTTTGGCAACACTGTTTTTGACAGATGACGCGTGAATCGTGTCTTGTGTCATCGTGAAACTTGTTCAGTTTGGTCTATAATTTAACTATGAATCGACTTACGAACGAGCACCGCTTGCAAATTATTGAATGTTACTATCAAAATTCATGCTCGGTTAAGAGAGTGCATCGAGCACTGCTTCCAATTTATGGGCAATTTGGTCGGCCTACTGAGGGAGCTATTCGGAAGTTTGTGACTAAATTTCGAACCCAGTTTACATTATTGGAGATTAAACCACCAACACGCAGACGTAGAGTGAGGACTGAAAAAATATTGCGGCTGTATCCGCCAGTGTTAGTCATGACCGTGAAATGTCGATTCACCGTCGTTCGCAGCAATTGGGCCTCTGTTACTCCCCTACGTGAAAAATTTTGCCATGATAACAAACTTTTTTTTGCCCATAATGGAAGAGCTGGACTTGGCTGACATGTGGTTTCAACAAGACGGTGCCACATGCCACACCGCACACGAAACAATGGCCCTATTGAGAGGCGAGTTCGGTGAACAGTTTATCTCTCGTTTGGGGCCCGTCAATTGGCCGCCTAGGTCGTGTGATTTAACGCCGTTGGACTATTTCCTGTGGGGCCATGTTAAGGCTAATGTCTACAGGGATAAACCAGAAACGATTGACGCACTGGAAGCCAATATTGAAGCATTTACTCGTGAGATACCGGCCGATATGTTGGAGAGAGTGCGCCGAAATTGGACCTTGCGCATGGGCCATCAAAGCGGAGCCGCGGCCAACATTTACATGAAATAATCTTTAAACATTAAATTATATCGACCGTTCTATCGACTCAAATAAATATTCAATCGTTTTTTCAAATTTTTTGTGTTTTTTTGAAAATCAAATCCTATACCTCTTAAAAAATCACCCGTTATTAATATTGTGAACTACTCGTTTATCTAATAATTCATGATGCAAGGTAATCGCAGAAATTTTTAATCTGTTTCTCATATTCATCCATTCAGTTTCTAAAAATTTCTCCGAAATATGATCTTAATTATTTTGTTATGCCATAGATATAGCTAAGACAAGAATTTTGAACAGTTTGAATTCTTCTGCGGCTTTCTACATCCAAACTGCTATGGTATATAGGTGACAAGTACGGAACTGTGATAGTACAAGTCTTTCACATAAAGTTTTTTTAGTGTCATAATTTAAATACTTGCGATAAGGAAACAGGATTCTGAGTGGAGCACAGGTTTTTTTATATTCGGAAACGCAATTTTGAATCGAGTATTAACCCAAGTTTATTTTCTTCTAACAGTTTAATTGAAGCGTTAGAGATCAGACTAACAAACACATAAAGAAAGAAGGGTCATGGCTTCTCGTCATTCTCATTTCACGTGACATACAAAAAACATGCAGTAATTAAAAACCAGGTGTTGGCTTAACGTAACTGACGCATCAACTGGTATTCTAAAATGTTGAATTCCGTATACCTGTCAAGTATTGCGAAACGTATTACGGCAATTATCCAGTGACTAAAGGTGCGAATTATGCTAGAAATTACACGGATACCATTTCCAAAGACATTTTCGACATTCATAAATAACAGATGCATATTTAATCGTCAAAAAATTGTGTCGACCTCTCACCTCTTCAAACGCGGAAACCGAATACGCCTACCATTACGGCTTGCGAATCATTAGGCGAATGTCACACAATCACTCCTGACCCTGCAATCAGTATTTACTGATCGTTCCGTTAGTGTCAATGGATTTCTACGTAATCTTATACATCAATAATAAATTGCTGACTTTCTGGCTACATGGTCGCGAAATATCTCCATGATAAATACTGACTGATCACAGTAAAAATACTGTGTGACATTCGCCTTAGGCTACGGTTGAAGTATATCACTGCGTTTCTTCGAGTGTCTATATTTTGGCCACCCATTTTTAAAATATCTCACCCCTCCCATGCCAGCATTGTAGCAAAAGATTTGATACGTCCCTGGAACGCATTTGAAAAGGCCCACACTTCGGAAACATAGCTCT